TTTTTTTTTGCTTTCTCTTATGTTTCTACTCTGTGCCTGTGACTGTGCTGCTATCAAGGAGGGGTCGCCCAAGGGGCGACCCCGGTTTCTTGTATAATATTATAATATATGACAACCTCTATCAGATTTCCTGCACTGTCCGCCCGTGCGCGGCGAGCTCTTTGGGTGACGTGGGACTGACAACTGCGGCAGGCACGGATACGCGCACAGGGGCAAGCTTTGTTGCCGGGGAGAACATTTACGGTCCATTCGAGGCTGGGTTCGGTTCGCAGCAGAACAGCATCCTGGAAGGCCTAGGGTGCAGCACCGGCACACTTGGACACGTAGATGGGGGTCTTGACACATTCACTGCGGAACAAATGGTCGCATATCAATGTGGAATTACGCTGCCGCGAATTGACAGCGGAAACTACATCTCGTTGATCGACGAGTGCGGTGGGCACACGAACGAGTACCATTTTCACGAGAAGCTTGCGTGTTTGTACGATCAGAGCGCCAGCGGCCACAGCGCGCAGGTGGGACAAGAGGTTGCTGGGCTGCCGGATGGAATCCGCTACAAGCTGTATGGAAAATATGAGAATAGACCGACGACGCCGCAAGTGGACGCCTGTAATGGACACTTTGGAGTCACTCCGGACTCGGCAGGCGAGATCGTCTACCACTATCACGTTACCGATTCCGCACCTTTCACCATTGGTTGCCACGGACCTGACACTGACGGTGGGGGAGACCAAATTCTTGTCACTTTGGAGCGCTGCCGTGCGGTTACGAGTGGATGCTGTACTGAGGAAGTTATACTCCACTTACTCTGACGAAATGTATGAAAATAGCCTTTTTTGATTCATTGATTTTTCAAGGTCATGCTCATGGATCATGTTGGCTTGTCCACGTTGTTGTATCTTAAGAACTACTCATTATGTGCCACCTACGTTTTACTTCTACCCCATATTAACTGACAATCTGACTCGCTACAGCATCGACTGCGACGTCTTTGACGCGAAACAAGGGGAACTCCGCTCTTGGGGGCGCGAGCGGAAGCGAAACGATTCAATATACTAAGTGGTGTAGTTGCTTCGACGGTGCGGGCTCAAATACCGGCAGTGTGACTCTGCCGGTTTTCGCGAACGGAAACATCGTGAAAAAGACTGCCGCAGCAACCGTTGCTCCGGCTAGTGGTATCTATAACAATAAGCCTACTTAGTTCTTGTTCTTACAACTTGCTGTTGCTCACAATACTAAATTTGAACTTGAAGTACCACAACCCATTACAGATGGAGCAAACACGAGCTCATATTGGTTGATTTTCCTTTTCCAATAAGTATGTGATTCGCGGGGGGCTTTTACATTTACTTTTTCAACAGCTGTCGGTTCATCGAGTGTTGTCACGGTCGCGCCAGCGCTTGCTGTCAACTGTGTGGGAAGTTGGGGTGCCTGGGGTACCTGCACGGCGGGCGTGGAGACGCGTACCTACACAATTACGACCGTGTCTGCGAACGGGGGCACTCCGTGCCCACATTCACAGGGCGAGACTGAGACGCGACCATGCGGAAATTCTGTAACACCTCCGCCGCAATGTTCTGGGACCTGGACGCCCGTGAATGGGACTACCTGCAGTAATGGCGTCACGTCGAAGACATACATAACTAGCAACGCCACGGAGACTGCGAACGCAGCGTGCCCCGCGAACGGCACGGTTACGTCGACGATGTGCGGCACTCATTGCCTCGGGTACTGGGGTGGCTGGGGCGACTGTGCTCAGGATTCGACCATGTGCTACTTCCAAGTACTACACTTTTATTTTTACACCACTTTTTTCAATTTGTATTTGCTGCAGATGATATGTAAGTACTAATGAATATAATCAATATTCATGATGGTAAGTAGAGACTTCTTTGGCTCATTCATATTGCTTCAATTCGTCGATTATGCAAATGGATAGATACGGAAAGAACGGTTTAGGCCAACGCCTAAGCCACTAAGCCAACTGCGCAGTTGGCCTGTTCACTTATCTATCAAGACAATCTAAAAAACATCGAGGCAGAATGTGAATGAAGATTTTCCAAATACTATCACAAGGTCACATACACTGGCACGAGCCCGACTGCCGTGACGAGCAAGACGAGTGCGCAGTACCATGACTTGGTCTACTCGGGTTCAACGAACGTAGGGTGGACAGCCGTTCTAACTGCTGGAACTTGCCCGACATCGGCCGCTGTTGCTGATCAGGCCATCAAAAACGGAAAGACGGGTATGATCAACGCCAACATTCTGGGAAAACGCAGTCGTACGTTTACCGTGACACAACAAGAGGCAAACAATGGACGCCAGTGCCCGGAATTAGTTGCTTTCGCCGGCGGCGTGGAAAACCAGGCCTGCGACTACAACGTGCGCTCGCCGCCGAAGCCGGGAGCTATTGCTGCACCACCGGCGAAGACCCTTGTCGCCACCGAAGTTGCCTCACGACTGCAGGCCCGCTACAGTGTCCCCGCGTGTTGGGGGGAGACGGAATTCAATGCTAACGCGGGTTTCACGACGGCAAATGCCAACGCCTTAAAGCTGGCAGCGGGTGCCGCGTCTGCGGTCGTGAATCAGGTGAAATGTCGCGGCTCGTGTGGCAGCGGGTGCAGCCGCCGACAGCTAGAAGACGGGAAAGCGGACTCGTCCCTTTCGGCAGAGAATGACGAGCTAACTCATGATGACAGCGCTGAGCCTAGGACCTTGACGGCGACGATCTCTGCTGAGCGTGATGTGGACCTGGACTTCACGCTCACGTTTGCGACCGCGGCTGATGCACAAGCCGCGGCTTCCTCTACTATGACGTCTGCCACTTTCTCGTCCGCATTGAAATCGAATCTGGACACGCAGCTTTCGAGCGTCAGCGCTGTGTCCGCGTCTGCGGTGCAAGGCGTCGCAGCACCGCAAACCAGCGCAGACAACCCGACGTTCTCCTCGGCCAGAACCCGGATGCTGGTACAGTTCACGGTCGTGCATGTAGCCGTTCTTGGGGCAGCTTACATCTGGAGAGTCGGCCGCGCTGGCGGCGGGGTCGTCATTTAAATATAGTATAACCAATAGATAATGAAAACTTAAGATATAATTGTGGCTTTTCCGCTAGAATAAATTTAGAGATCACTAACTATACTCTGATTGTCCGCCTGCGCGTGGATCTCTTATATTGATGTCTCAAATCGATGAGAATAGATGGTTCTTACATTTTATTGTATACATTTAGAAGATGACTTTGTCGCGTAGGTCAATGCTATATAACAGTATGTTATATGATACAGGGACGCACGCCTCCCCCTGTGGATGGCCCTGTGGTGGCGCTTGCGCGCTCTTTTCCGCGAAGCTTTTCGCGGGTTGTCGGGGTGGAAGGCGTCAAAACTGGGAGCGGGCGGCCCCTTGCGCCTCTCTGCAGGTCCTCGACAGACGTCCCGGCCCCTCCCGACCCTCGCAGGCTGGAAGTCTCCGAGGTAGAAGGCCGCCGAAGGCGGCCACGGTCTCGAGGCCTGGCCCCTTTTGCTGGGTTGCCCTCATCAAATGCGCCGCAAGAGCCGGCAGGCCGATGACCACGGGCCCGGAGGGTACAGGCCACACGGCTCACGGGGTCCAGCCTTGCGCCCTTTGCCGCCTTCGGAGGCCTTTCACACCCGGCAAACTGCTGCGGCGGCGGGGGGGCAGCAGATCGGAAATCTGTAGGGTACACGCAGGCAGCTGGAAGGGAGCGGAGGAGGCCCCTTGGACCCCTTTGGAAGCTCTTCATTCCCGGCGGACGCCTCCAAAAGGGGTCCGGGGATTCACGGCCCCCCCTCTAGCGTGGAGAACGCTGCTGCGCTTCAGCCTGAATCTTGTTCTTTGATAATTGTTTGTCGTTTATTTTTATTTCCTGGGGTGTCGCTCTTTACCTCTTACGTCTTGAGTAAATGCTTTCCCCGTGATAATATTTTATTTGGTGTCCTTCTCTTACTCTTACAGATTATCCCCAACCCCATTTTTAGGATATGATAATTTTCGTCCTCTTGGATCCAGGGTGTTGCGAATCATTTGTGCAACAAGAACTAGTTCCTTTCTTCTAGTTTTTAGGCGTTGAATGTTCAGCATGGAGAATTTCAGGTATCACAGCAGATATTGAGCATCTTTTCGGTGTATTGTTCTTCCAGTTGCTATCTTACAATATGCTTAATTTTATGTATGAATATCAGATTTGGACCAGCCACTTGGATGTGAAGATATTGTTCCTTCGCCTTCCTCTGTGCTGGACCAGGATCATTCAACTTGATAATTATGATTTTTTGCGCAACCTTTGATGGTGGTGTTCGTTGTTGCATGAAGCGTAATAAATTCACGAGCGCTTTCTGGTTCAGTCACCGTGCTTCCACCCAAGTACTGTTCAGAGAGAAAGGATGATGAGCTCGATTGTTATCTGACAAGGAGTAGAGCGAGAACCAAAGAAACAGCGCAAAATGTGACACAAAATGATGCAAAATTTCCCGCAAAGATTACGATTTGTCGATCATTAGTAAAATGGGACGAGATGATGTGGTGGTCAAAGACGGTATCAGGCACGTAAGAAGCAGTCAGTTTCTTTGGACTCCTGTTGATTTATCAAAAACTTCATCATCTTCTTCAACCACCAACATAGTGCTGGCTACTAGGATAAGATCATAATCAAAGGGTCACAAATACTAGAAGAATTGGAAGAACAATTACGAGCAGAACAAGAAAGAAGACGAAATTAATAGTCAGCACGATCAAGGAACACAACAACCACGTACAACTAGTAACTCGGGAGTAAAACCATCCAAGTACAATAAGTACACGTCCTTTGCGATTGCGTCTTCAACAAGTAGGAGCGTCAACAACTGCTTCTTGTCTGCGAACTAGCAAGGAAATAATATTGATTGCACGGAGCAAAGGACTACGACTACGAGTAAGAACCACTATCACAGCAATAAGATGACGGGCATGTTCGACGGTGATCAATCCAGCGCTGGACGCCGTGAGCGTTTGCTGAAAATGCGTGATTCGAAGGAGGCGTTCACGGGCAAGGTTGGAGGTGCGGAGATCAGCAACGGAAAAAGTAACATGTCAAACGGATTCTATCCGACGCCGACGAATACTGGGCGTAGGTATTGACGTGAGTCACCTTGATGTACTTATAGATATTATAGAAAGCAATGTTTTATTATATTTCTAGTACACTTTTCGTATTCATCTTCTTCGATGTTTGAATTTGATAGTCGAAAGCCTTGAAGCGATTTCAATTGCAAGAAACATTTTTATCCACTCCCGCTTCGTCAGCCTGGGTGTCGCGAGTGGCGGGCCACAGGCTTCTCGTGGCGGTGGTGCAGCTGCTGCTCTAGATCATGGAGGTGCTGCCACTTATCTCACTACTTCCGCTGGAACCATCGGCAGCGGACTTCGCAGCACCCGCAGTGGGAACGTGACCCCGAGTATTACCGGCTCGACCACTGGGGAAGGATTTGAAAAATTATGGCTCTCGATTTACTTCAGCTCCTGCACAGTTCGTTGGTTCCAGAGTTTGTTTCTAAATTTCCTGTCATTATTGAATTCGTCATGTTGAACAAGGGGTTAGCAGTGGATGTTCATGATCTTCTCCTGTTCCCCTCTCGTTCTTGGAGTCGATTCATTCTCTCTCAGAAATTTTTAAACGTAGAAGATGAATCATCGACAGCTTTCTAAGAAAAGAGACGGCTTCCACCGGCAACTTCCGCCAACGCGTCCAGGTCAAACGGAGCACCTACGAACTGGATATCTTCTGCAAGTTTCCCATTATCGATTTTATGCAGAATACGAAGCAGCGCCAATTCACCTTCGTCTGCGCTTGCGACGAACAGGGAGAATGCACTGACAATTATGAAAAACAAATTTTAATTATCGAAGTCGAAGACTTCATGTTCAATTTGTAGAAAGATGATTTCGATTGTCGCAGGGAAACAGAATCTAAACCTTACTTATTTGATTCTCATAGAGATCTGAAATAACATCGTCCCTCCTTCATAAAGGGTATTCGGTCCAGATCCCGCAAGCCTTCGAGTTTAGTCGTGCCAAGGTGACAAATGATGACTTCTCCAGCGGCCGAGTTTCGATCGTTCTTCCCGCTGTCGAGCGCAATGCCTTGTCCTGGGATTAAAAGTATATCTATATTCCAGCTATCCCAGGACCACGTGACTCAATGTGTGTCGTGTGATCGAATTTATTTTTCAATTTATTGTCTTCTTAAGTGCTTTCTTATTCTCCATAGCAATTTTTTGTCTATTTCAGCCGTGTATATGCTAAATATAGGCGTCTTAGTCAAAGTCATGAGACCTATCCTTCCATCCACTATTGCACTCTTTTCTCGCCTCCGACTACTCTCTCCACAACTCCGTCTGACAACTGCGTGCTGAGCTGCTATCCCAGATTCTTCTGATCGACTCGGATTGCGTTTTGGACTCCACGACTCTCCGCGTCCTAACCCTACTAAATGCTTGTGGCCTATCTATTTTACCTGATTTAAGAGCTATTGTGTAATAAACCATACTATTAAGCCGGCCGCAGCTTGAGTCTATCCCAGACCCTCTCGGTAGGTCTCGCGTGGTGTCGCCGAGGTAACATCTACCAAACCTGCATGAGGAGAGAGAATGGACACCATGCAGCTCGTTTTGCGTGTGTCTTGTGTTGTCTTGTGCTTGTTCTGTCTTGGTCGTTCTTCGTTCTTGTGCTTACCTAAGCAGTTAGCTAAGTAGGGCGCTGACGCTGCGGAACTGGATCAGAAGACTCCGGACATCGCTGGGGATATGGGTCAAGGTCCGCAATCCAATGGGTCGCGTCCTGTCTTTCCGAATGAAGTGAGAACAAGTCACAAAAAAAAAAATTCTTTCTTGCTGGAGCGATTTTCTCTCGGTTCTCGGTCTTTTGCGGGCTGCTTTGTGCAGTGGGAGACACGCATGCAAGGGGCGCTTAATTGCATGTCCCTGGCCCCCCCTCAACTCGGTGCTTTTTTCGTTTTTCTTCTCATTTTATTTTTTTTTACCTCGGTCTAGTACTCATACTACTATCCTTTATAATACTAGTCCTCGTCGCGACAACATCTTATGGCCTCCTTAGAATATAGGTTTGTCTTCTCTGTAGTGGCTAGACAGAGACAGGTTCTCTGTGACTCATCTCAAGTTGATTACTTCCTTCCTAACTTTCGCTGGCACTTAAATCTCACGCTTCATCCGTTATTGTCTTCTTCAGGGAGACTGTTTTTGAGGTAGTTTTCAGCATCGACACCTTCGTGTCACCGGCCTTCACTCGGCAGAGCGCACACTCTAACATCAGTGATAGTGCTGATACAGTTCATAGTGTTGGTTTCATCTTTTCGCCAACTAAATAAACAGGGTCGGTTCCTTTGCTGGATGGGGTAGGATTGCAGCTTATTGGGTGAGAGATTTTCTCTGCTGCAATATGCGGAGTCAATCAAGTATGGAATAGATCACGGTTGTGGACGTTTCGGCTAGAATCAAGAGCAGCCGAAGAAGGGAAAGGACCACTATGCATGAGATTAGTGGTATTTAGATAGACCAAGACTGAGTATGAATATTTGCAAAACGGCATCAGGATCAGAGTTTACTGACTGATGTTCTTACTCGCCTTGATGCTTCTTGTTTGAATCAGATTGTGACTTCTTTAGTATCTTGATTTTTCCAAAAAACAAGTGCTTACTCATACATGGCGACCCTCTATGTACTGAATCATTCTCTTACTTGTTCGTCAAAAAATAATAAGGACTTCAAATTCAATTAGTATTATTCTTGTGATGCTCGGACATCTATTCTTAGCACAGAGATAGAGTGCTAATGTTGAATCAAGTATGAAGTCATTGTTGTAAAAGTAGCTCTATTTGTCGGTCTCCTATCCGATGAGGTTTCTACTTTCGATTGTATGTACGGGTATATCCACTTTTTCAGGTTATGTTTACGTGATTGGATGAAAGTTGTAGAAGCAAACAGATTCATGATATCGAATACTTCTTGAGTGCAACTTAGTCGCACATTGTAATTGTTTCCTTCCTGTTTTTGACACATGATGGGCCATCATAAACGAAACGGCAGACCCCCTCACAACATTAATGATAATGAGCGGGAAAAAGGGTCGTCGTCGAACTAACAGGGCACTGATCGGTTGCCTGGCCATTCTGGTTAAAGAATGAACGAAGTCCATGTTTTCATGTTGTATTGCTTTCTGGTGAAAATTGCATATGATTATGAAGTGTATTTTAGCATCATGCATGGTCAATCATTTTTTAATGTGGTAGTTGATGATGAAGATAAATACTCTAGATGTTGATTTCTCGCTCATTCTTTGTTTCTTTGATTAGTTTCATTGATCCATAGCGTTGGTGAAAGATGACTTTTGGATTGTATTTACACTGGAATTGGAAAAAAAACCGTTAATATTTGATTACGACTATTCGCACAGGAAGGAAGAGCACTAGGTGATGATGGTTAACAAATATCTTTTTTTGGTGAAGACGAGGATGATGTAGTTGTCGAGAGTATCTATAGTATTCGAAGATATAATTGCTGTTACAAGAATATTACGAACAGGAGTCGGACCGAACAATGACTGTAGTTTTGTATTACCTAAAAATACTGGAATCTGATTTCTCTTTGATTTGAACTGATATGAGCGGGAGTATCTGATCCCCCCATTCAACGACAGAGAGACGGTGAGCCTGTGCAACGGCTCTCTTGCCTTAAATCACAGATGAATGTATGATGATTGAACAGCATGCAAGACAGGTGCGCGAAGCGTCAACATTATTAATTTCTCCCCAGCATCGCCACCCCCACGGCAAGACGGAAATAAAAGTTATATCTCAAAAAAGGAAAAAAAAAATCGGACAAACAATAAGAAATTACAAGCGCGGCTGCTCATTGGCTGCTGCAAGTGCACCTCCATGTGTTTAAGCAACTACACAATCGGTAGAAGTAGCAGCTGCAGGGAGGTCGGTGCCCTGTGAAGGCAATCTGATTGATTGATTGATTAATTGATTGATTGATTGATTGATTGATTGATAGGGGGGGCTTCTCCGGCGGTGGAGACTCCGGCGGTGGAGAAGTGCGGCGAGAGCCGGTTCAGCATGCATCACGGTCCCTGGCGCGGGCCAGCATGGTAGATCGCGAACGAGGGTGGAAGGTCTGGCCATGTGCCCGCGTGGCATTGTCCAGGGATCGGCTTGGACTGAGGTTCTCTTCCTCAACTGGGTCGTGAGGGCTCACCCTTCATTAGCCCGACACAGCGTAAGCAAAGCGGGCAGAGTCCAAAGACAGCCGCAGCTAATTTGCGCTTGAGGTTCCTTGTAACAGACCACGCTAGGTGCCTAGCCTCTGGTCTTTTGCTATGGATGATCTTTTGTGGGCTAGGTCAGCGGGAACACAGTCGTGCTCGCACAGTCCAGAGTTGGCCCTGGGTCTGTTTGTTCCTCCGTTATCCAGCACCGCCGCTCGTTAGACGGCCGCATATTATTGATTGATTGCTTGAGGGTGGATGGTCTGGCCATGTGCCCGCGTGACATTGTCCAGGGATCGACTCGGAGCGCGGGTCTCTTCCTCAGCTGGGTCGTGAGGGCTCACCCTTCATTAGCCCGACACAGCGTAAGCAAAGCGGGCAGAGTCCAAAAACAGCCGCAGCTATTCTATCATTTTGTAACGTTGAGCAATTTCACTCGGGGGTCGCGACTGTTTTCACTCAAAGCGCCACATCTTCAGGATTGGTCGCGCAGCTTGTACTTATGCTAACTTCTACCTACTAGAGGGCAGGTTTAATACAACTTTCGAAGGACCAAGATCTAGATTATGGTGCGAGGAACGGGGGGCATATTATCTTGCGGGTCGATCTGCGTGGGAGGCCTTCTCTTAGCGTTCGCGGCGTTGTTGTTGTCGCAGCTCCGCGTAGGGCAGTTCGACGTGGCCCTTGTATCGCAAACGCAGCAATCAAAATCATGGTCCTCCAACGACTGTAGTTCTTCTTGTAACGAGAAGAAACAGAAAAGATACGTCGACGAGATGAAAGATTCGATCCCGTTCAAAGAGGGTTTTGATGGACCGTCATTGGCGAGCAAGACTGTATCAATCAAGATCGGCACCCTTGGGCAGTCTTACCACCGCCCTGGCCAAAGCGACTATCTGCTCACGTTTGATCCCTTCGACCGATTCCAGAACGCGAGTCTAGGTGGCAGTGTTGGGGGAGAAAGGCTACCCTACGTTGTTTCCGATTACATGGGAATGTTGACCTTTTCCAGCAATCACGATGTTCCAGGTTGCAGCACTATCAATCAAATAAATTGGCACTTCAAAGTGGAGCACAGCCTAGAAGCCGCGGCTTACTGGAAGTCTGCTCCCAATTCCTCTGCGCTATCCCCCGAGAGAAGAAAAAAACTTCTTGCGAACGACCCACTACAGAACGATGGGCAGCATCCCTATTTCAGTGGTTGCTTTCATCCGAAGCGGTTCACAAAGCAGAAGGTGAAAGCTATCCAACTCTCCAAGTTCTTGAGCCAACGAAGAGTGAAGAAAATCGACAAACTCCACATTGACGCACAAGGGAATGACTGGACAGTGATCAAAGACGTTCTAGAAAACTACGCACTAGCAAACCTAGAAGAACCAATTAGGGAGATTCAGATGGAGTGTCAATACTACAGTCGAACGATCGCGCCGTTCTACTACGCCTCCAACGACTGCGATGATATTCGGCAATATATGAGTTTTCGCTTACCGAAACACAAGTTTTCGCAGACATGGAACACGGGAAATGGGGCTGCCGAGTACAATGTCTTTTTTCGTTCTTCTTGAAGAGATAGTACTAGAGTAATCCAAGACTCCAGAAAGATACGTTCTCGAGCTAGTAAAAGTAATTCGCGCAAGACGAGGAGGCAATTAGGAGGAAAAATGGGACGATGTATCGGGACCATGCACGAAGATGAACCATTTACATTCAGACTCACACGCGACGCGACACCATTTTTAGACTACAGTTGTCAGATGAACGTGGTGAAATAAACTTCTTCAAAAATGAAGAACAGGCCAAGGCCTAAGGCACGACTAAACCACTGAAAGAGCCCCTTCACTTATCGCAACTTCTTTCTTCATCTTCCTTCTTGATGTACCAAAAGGAGTGCGATCGACCAAGTCCGTGAAGTGTAAGACTTCTCTGCGCCCACCCCAGCTAGTGCGTTTTTGATCATCCTATAATCGGCAGGTTCGTAGGCAATTAGTGCACTGGTGATATCAGGAGGTTGATGCACTCCACCTGCTGCCAGTTTGGGAACTGGAAAAAACTAAGACCACTTTTCTAGCAGCCCCCGAATACGAAAAAAGATTGGCCGAAGACTTTGAATTTGAAAGTTGAAATTTGCGGTGGTGTTGATTTTTGATTGCTGCAGTTCTTGCGTCTTCTCGTTGTGCTCGTTGGAGACGGATGAGCGTCTGGCGCGTTGGCTCTCTATGAAATACTAACAAGCTCGTTAAAGCTTCATTCTATGAAGCAAAAACTTTTTGGGGAAAAGGTTGATATCTTATTCTGATTGTGCAGAGGCGGAGGCACTGTCTTTTTGTTTCTCAGTGGGCACTGATATCGGCTCTGTAGTACCAAGCAAGGCAAAGGCTATTATACGGCCAGTCTTTCTTCGGATCATAAAAATTATCCATCCACTCTACTTTATTCTAACGTACCAAACACTAACTAAGATCGATCAACAATACAATAATTGTGATGGAGCAGACCTAACTAGAAAAGAGAAAGACCCGAGGAAGATAGAAAAGGGAAAACGGTAATGGTCGTCAAGTATGCCCCTATCTGCTAAAACTAATTAAGCGCCGGCGCTTTCGTCGTCTTGTCAGCCCCATAGGTCTCACCTTCGAAGGCGGGCCGGAGTCCTGTGCAACGCCTGCGGTGAGTGCTCAGCTCTCTGGTTGTGTGCGCAGGTTTATTCGCTATGGGGTGCCGGTTCACCAAATAAACCCACAAGCAGAGAAAAGGGCCCTCGTTACGTTATATCTAGCGCGAACCTTAAAACCCTCGCGCGCTCAACAATATTACAATAATCAAAAATATGGCGTCGTTTTCGAGCAGTAACCGGATGGCGCACTGGGTGCTAAGGGTGTCCGAGTTGGAAAAAACCTGGGAATTTTTGAAAAGTGTCTTTGGTATGGTGGTCATTCGCCATGAAGAGAACGACGCAGCCTGCAAGATCACCTGCAACGGAAAGTTCGACAGGCCTTGGAGCAAAACCATGATGGGTTTCCCACAGCATACAGAAGACAAATGGCACTAACTATAGATACTAGCTTGGAGCGCCCGATAACAACCCCTCGCACTAGGATGCCCCTCCCCCCGAAGTAACCCAGGGAACAGGTAGGCAATTCGTTAACTTTCAGCAGTTTCGCTGAAACTCAACTGCTTGGATTTGAGTTTCTCAAATTTCGAAGCCTTCCGCATTATTTTGCCGCTTTGGGACGGATTAAATTCATCGCTGGATTTGAATTTCTCCAATTCCAAAATTTTTGATTATAGGCCTTTCCTCTGAGATTCCATCTCCTGGCATGGCAATTTCTCAAATGTCGCAGCTTTCCTATTATTTTGCCTCGTAGGGGTTCAATTTGTTGGATTTGGATTTCTCAAATCCCAAAATTTTTGATTTTGCGCCTTATCTCTGAGATTCAATGCCCTGGATTGCTGGAATTCCTCAAATTTCGGCGCTTTCTTTATTATCTTGCTTCTTATGCTTGGCGATTCTCAAATCCCAAAATTTTTGATTTTAAGCATTGGCTTGCTCTGGCATTCAATTTCTTGGGTTTGAATTTCTCAAATTTCGAAGCTTTCCGCATTATTTCGCCCCTTTGGGATTGAATTTGCCGGATTTGAAGCTCTCAAATCCCAAGGTTTTCGACTGTAGGACCTTTTTCTGGGTTTCAATCTCCTGGAGTTGAATTTCTTAAATTTCGAAGCTTTCGGATTGAATTCGTGGGATATGAGTATCTCAAATCCCAAAATTTTTGACTTTAAGCATTTTTTCGGAAGTTCAATCCTGGGTTTCAATTTCTCATATTTCGAAGCTTTCCGCATTCTTTTGTCGCTTTAGGATTGAACTCGCCGGATTTGAATTTCTCAAATCCCAGTTTTTTGTTATTTTGGGCATTTTTTCTGCGATTCAATTTGCTGGATTTGCGCTGTTCGTGAGTTGGGGAGTTCGTGAGTTTATGGTTTCATGAGTTCGGGCTCGTTCATGCGTTCGAACTCGTTCATGAGTTCGTGAGTTCGTGTTCATGAGTTCGTGAGTTCATGAGTTCGTTTTCGTGGGTTCATGAGTTCGTGAGTTCACGGGTTCAGAAGTTCAGAAGTTCGGAAGGGGTTCATGGGTTCATGGGGTTTGCTGGTTTTTGTGTCGGAGGTTGAGGGGTTGGAGGTTGTGGGTTTCGGAGGTTGTGGGTTGGGGTGTTGGAGGTTGAGGTTCCGGAGGGGAAGTGTTTGCTGAATTTTATTGCTCTTAATATTTCCTTGAATGATGATTGATGAACAACAGCTAGTAGTTGTTTCTTTCTACAGAGATGTGCTCTTTCGTCATCGAGTGGTGCTTTCGTTGGTATCATCTATAATGCTACTTCCGTCGTAGAGGAGGAGGTTTCTCTTTCCATAGAGAGTTGGTATACTCTAGGCTGCATTTTTTCACTCTTCTTGCATTCATCCAAAAAGGTACTGTCTCGAACTGACGTACAACTATGGAGTTAAGAAGTACCCAACGGATGGTGGAATCGCAGCGATTTCAGTAGCGGTCCCCGACCCAGCGAGTGCGTTGGATGCGGCCAAGAAATTAGGCTACGAAATTGCTACCAGTGGAGCGATTGTCGGACCCGATGCTTACCCGTATATGCCTGTCGCATTTCCCGACTCTTCACGCAGAAAAGAGCCCTTTATGTCCGTGACTATTGTGGTAAATGACTTAGTAGCATCAAAGAAATGGTACGCGGAGACGCTGGACATGGTTTGCATCAGCGAAAGCGACACGGAAGCGACTATGGGCTACAGTGTACCATCCCCAACCGACACGACTTACGTCATCTTACAGCAAAGACCACAGGAAAGCGACGGTGTGATTTTTTAACTCTTAGTTCTTGAAGATCTTTACTAGTGCAGCCAACATCAATGTTACTTATTCATACATTTGGGCTTGATGAGGGTCATCTTGAAAGTGAAGAGTTGAAATGTGAGTTTATCTTGTTGCTCTCCAATCACCACAACTTCAGCTATTGTTCCCGGTGCCCATTCTGGACGACTTGCGATTTCCTGCCCAGACGTATCGAAATACTACGCAAGATTTCCGGAAAAACAAGTCCTGCATGAACTGCAGATTTTGGACGAACCATTAGGAAAGTTGGAGATCGCCATCGTTGCGGACCCAGACGGTTTTGAGCTGTGTCTAGTAACGTCCGCGGTATTTGACCCCAGTACGAGAGACGCGGCAACTTGGTCAGACCCGGACTGGGATTCGCGGAGAAAGATGGGAGGCAAGTAGTTCTAGTTCGTCACCTCGTCTCTTGAACGTTGCTTAAGAAAGCGTTTCCTCTTCTGCCGTCAACGTCTGCAGCTGCCACTTTGTTAAGGACACGCGAAGCACCGCGTCAGCCGCCGGCGCAGATAAAATGCCATGAGTCAACATGTCATCGTGACCACGACTACATGATCAGATTGTATTGAATACAAGCCATGCAGATCCATATTTTGATATTGATATTCACATGAAAATGAAGATGCGCCATCCTGATACGCACATAGCTGAGAGTGCTTCTTGTCCGGTTCTTCGTGATCGCAAATTTGGAGTCCGGCCTGCGTCCAATGCGATCTAAAACAAAAAGCTCCGGCTTGTAAAATGAATTTCGCAGCATTAGGCATCTGAAGCTACATATTGAAGGATTCATACCACACACGTATATCGCATGGACTGGGGGAGTTGTCTCGGTGCGGCGACCCCAAGGCCATGCGAGCTGTCAATAGCAGTATCTCGACAATGCGTAGAGAGAGTTTGTGTGTGACTCTTATCGCCTAGCGTTTACGAATAATTTACAATTTATATTTTATAGTACAGGAGTCTTCAATTTTTTACAGAGCTCGCGCTCGGACGACGTGAAAGTGGATTTTCACCACATCAAGTGCGGCTGTCGTGTCATGGGTAGTGCTTGGTGGGAGTGCTCAGTCGGACCAGATAGAAAAGCATCAAGTGGTGCTGAAACTGAGATGGCATACAAGCATCTTGAATATTAGCAAAAGAAAGTTATAGTGTTTGGACTCCAATTGTAGGGTTACAAAATGAAGAAGATTTATTAAGACAAGAAAGAAGTAGATGAAGATGAGTGAGTAGAAATCGGCCTGCCGTTCAGGAGCAGGATGGCGTTGACATCAAAAGAAAAAGGTGTATCCAAAGTTCAGAAACTACATCTGAAAATTTTCTCAACCTACTAAATGGCACGGTGGCTTAGGAATGTAGGCTGGTGCTGACAACTAGTTTGCCTCAAAAACTGCTGTGGTCAAGAAAGACGTTGCTCTTCTATATTCCCATGAAGCCTCTCACTTCTATTTTTGCTTTGGATTGACATTGATGTGAAGAGAAACTAAATTGGGCCTCCGAAAGCGCCTTGCACTCCTCGCACTTCCGTCTGTAGAGACTCACGTCCGAATGCAAGTATGGAAAATCTACGCTTCCGACGCGATTCAATAGGCGACAGGTGCAGCCCTCGCGCACCATCCGGGGACGCTGCCACCTATCCGCAAGCTCGGTCCACCTTCGACTAGGCAGAGATCCATCCATGGAAGTGGCCGCGCGAAAAAAACGTGAAAACTCGAGCTGATAACATGTTCGCAATTTACTAGTGGGCAAGTGCATGTTGCACAACTGGATCTGGAAGAACTCCCAGCAAAGGTGAAGATTCTCTTTACGTGTATTCTTGTTCTTCTACCCATCATCGAACCCCCGCCATCACGTGCAAAAAGCAGATCTTGGCGCCAGGATGTCTACGCCAAAGATTCTGTCGGTCCAGGGGTTGGATCCAACTTGGGAGGTACCAGCGCAACCCAGTAGGAACTCATCTGACTACGAAAATATGCTAGAGGCAACGCCATCGGCAAGTTCCACGCGGCCACTTTTTGGCGCACAATTGGCCAAGAGGATCCAGAGTTTTAGAAAGCGAAATACTAATATAGGTCTGCCGCAAGGTCGGAGTGAAAGCCAGCAACAAGGGCCTGAGGACGCATGTGTCCAGAGGTCCTCGTGCTTATCCGTGTGTACTGTAAACGAAGTAGGGACGAAGAGTCCCAATGTTGGCGGTGGTCAAACCCGTGGTGGCAGTTGTAACAAAGTTTCTTCGATAGAGACTGACCACGCTATGAAGCCCGATGAAGACCCATCTCCTACAATGGCTGGACAGCTTCTTCGGAAACGCAGGCCTAGTGAAAGCCAAGGTGCTTCTCCTTCGGGCAGAGGGCGCCATCAGGGTGACCACGACCTCGCTGGTGAACTTTTCCTGTATGCGGTAGACGGTGTTTGGCGTTCTTTTCTGCTTCTCCGCGTTGTCCGTGTTTGGTACGCACGAACGCGTCGAGAATTGGACTACAAGAAGCAGGGGAAGCTAGTTGCTAGGCGCTGGGCAGATCGGCGACAGGATCAGCTTTTCCGTCTGTGGCGGGAACAGGCTTTAGCGACACGACGCCGAAGGCAGGGTCTCGCGCGCATGCGGCGACGGACCAAGGAACGCAATCTGGAACTCTTACGTCACATTTATGACGCCTTCAGCGTTTACTCAAAGCGGCGACGGTTTCTCACCGACGCGGCTTGCTTTCTGCGCGCAGTGCGGCGTGGAAAGGAGTGCAGAAGCGCCTTCGAGGAGTGGCGCGACCTCGCAGCGGCAGTGCGATTTTGCGAGCTACGAAAGTTTCAGTCTGCGATCTCTCGCTGGCGCGTGTTTGCGCAGGACGAGGCGCAGTGGTCCAGAGTTAGGATCAAGGCGCGGCAGCTTTCGGTTCGAGTCCAGACGCGATATGTGCTCGAGTTCTGGCGCCAGGCCATGGGAGTGGCTAGAGTGCGTCGCGAGAAATGCGAAGGCTTGCTGCGTGTGAGGGACGCGAAACGCGTCTCGCTGATGGCCTGGACAGCCTGGCAGAGCGCAAGAATAGAAATCTACCATCGTTGGCTCAGACCACGACGCCACTATGTTAGAAAACTAATGGCAAAGGTACTGATGCTTCAGCGATTTTGTCACTTCGGTATGATCATCTAGCAATCCTGTCTAGCACATGAACAGATTTCCGAGTATTCTTTTTTGAGAAGATGCTCAATTATTTTACCTTCGGGTACGGATACGAAACCTGCCTCTTTGTTTTGCTCAATGAAACGTCATGAATTCCAGATCCTGTTCGTGCTGAAGTTTCGTGTGATTCGCCGCGAAAAGCTTCTGACAATTGCGGATGAGGTAGTGGTGCGACTTCGAGAGCGCAGGCTGCGTGCTGCATTACCCTGTTGGCATCTCAACATTCGTCGGCGCGTCGACTGGGGTGCGTCAGTAGCCGACAAGTCGCGTAGGTTTGCTCGAGAGCAGAGGAGGCCAAACTTGTTGCGGCGGACTTTGCGATCGTGGCGAGAACGAGTGGTGCGATTGCGTCATTTTGAATCGCAACTAGACCTTCACGGGCGAGAGAATGTGCTCCGGCCAGTGTTCCGCGCCCTAACGTCGCAGTTTTTGCCGCAAAGCAAGGCTGAGAGCTCCGCGGCTCTCCTAAAAGCGTCGCAGTTCTTCTTGAACAGGCGTTTTCGTACGGCTTTTTTCCACGGTTGGCGAGCGGGTGCGCGGCTGAGTCGACGAGACCATCGTCGGCTGCGACGTGCGCTGGCGTTCTGGTACCAGACGCTCCTTGGCCGCTGCTTTCGCAAAGGGTGGCGCGTCTTCACGGAACGCAAACGCGCAAAGCGGATACGCGAAGCACAAGCGCTCAGTTTATTTCGGGATCAGACGCGGAAAATAGCCGTGCGGTCGTTACTTTCTGCCATCGTTCAGAGAGCAGAAGCGGAAAGAGAGGCGCTCCGAGATTGTTTCGAAAACTTGTACGAGGAGAAGGAACGTGTCGCGCGAAATTCCGCGGACGCATTCCTAGCACGCTCAAAAAGGCGGTCCAAGACGAAAATCAAGGCCCGTGGAGGAACTATAATTAGCAGCGCAAATACATTCACATTACTTGATCTTGACGACCTACAATTACTACAAGCCGCAGAGCTCAGACGAAGGACATCTTTAATTCTCTAGATCGCGTCAGAGAAAACCAGACCTACAACTCCACATGGGCAAGCGACAGAAAACATGATGAGGATGGACATCTAGAAGCGTCTGCCGTGGGGCAGCGCGCAGAGAGCACGAGAACTGCGGTCAAGGTTGATGATCCTCGTGCTCGAAACTTTAGCCATGACTTCAGCCTGAAGCGTACAGGAACCACAAGTGTGGTAAATGAACACACAGGCGGCCTTCATGCTGGAGGTATAAATGTTGTCCGTGGCATTTTTACAGCGATGGTGGATGATAACGACCTTTGCTGCTGAGAAGAGTACAACTCCATGTAATGAGTCCGAAATAGCATCGTCTTCATAGATAGAGATAAAAATGTACTTCAACCGCGCGGCACGAAGCAGTTCCTTTAACAGTGTTCAAGCGAAGAGTGTCACTGTCAGTTGACTCAAGTGTCATTTGTCCTAAATACAGGGAGTATCCTTTCTTAATCAGACAATTGAGCACTTTCATCGTCATATCACCCGGATCAGGAGGCATCGATAATCGGAAGATTCTCTTGCAGAGACCATGTACGTGTATGATCTTGTTCCGGAATCATGCTTGCTTGTTGTACTGGACGGTCATTAGATCAATCAACATTGTTCTGTCGATTGACACTGTGCTCACAAACACGACTAGTACTCTATGAGATCCCTCAATTATGGAGGCAACTTCCAATTCGTTCATGATGAAGATCTAAGTTAGCGTTCTTTGCCGCTTTGTACCTTATGAAAAACTATGGACACTCACACTAGTACTAGTACAACAAATGTGTAGTTCTTACTTGGGTCCTTTTGTTCGATCTCCAAAATTCTTATGATTTACAAAAACCCAGGTGCAGGAGCAGGAGCAGGAAACACTTTGGTATCGCGTAATGAATTTGTCAGAGACAAGTTTGCTGCCGCATTCCTATAACACAGGATAATACAGAAGAAGCTTTTCTGCACGTGCACATAGAAGAAGATTTAATAAGTACAAAACAACTCTACTTAAAACCGTTTTTTTCGACCTCTCTATCTATGTAGGTCGGACAGCACTAAGTTGTATGAAAAGATACAAGAACTGATAAACGTAAGTAGCTGTATTATCTTTTTTAATATGTAATTTCGAACATGTTGAGTTCATTTTTCTACTCAACGTGAAGTTAATTTGAATTTCTCCAATTATCATCATCTTCATTCGTTCATACGTATGTGATGATTTACAATTTCTACTGTTTGGTGATGGAATTTCTACCCAATGTCGGAAGATTGATGAAAAGTAGGGCTCCTTCGTCTGAGAAGTTAGATTTAAAAAAAAATCGCCGATTAACATGACTTGCCAACTCTTTCTTGGTACTGATAATAGAGTTGAGTAACGAGAGATTTAAAGCAAAGTTCTTAGTTGACCCTGCTCTTCTCTGTTCCTTAGAATATCTTGATGATGGTGATCTACTTGTAATTGTATATCGAATGACTGTCTCTATTATAAGGTCGTCCTCTTATTCGTTGAATGTTGTCCTTAATGTAGTAATAGTATTCGGAAATTTTTCGACGCCTTGACATTGACCCCTTCGTAAAAAATGATATCTGGCCAAACTGCAGTGCTTCGGGAGCAAGACTCACGGCCTCCTCGGATGGGGGAAGTTATCGAACCATGTGCCGCTGAAGACAAGAATAGTTGCGCGTCATTAGGCATCGTAGAGTGGTTGCGAATGCAGAGCCAAAAGAGCGATAGCAACTGTATTCGTTGATCCTTTTGTTTTCTTTTGAGACTCCCTGTTTATGTGTGGTTTACTTACGTGTAGACGAGGATGCAGTAGCTAGAAAATGCGTGGAAGATTCTGTTTAAAAACATTTTTGATTCTTCTAGTTTTTAGTTTTATTTGGGCTTTCATTCTAGAAGTAAATAGTAATATATTTCCGTCAACACACTCTTCAGCTTTGCTCGGATCGCTAGCGGGGTTCGTAATGTCGGACTGTGGAGGCAGGAACGAGGAGGCGGAGGCAGAAGAAGATATAGAATGCCCAGTGGTACTAAAAGATGCTTGATTATTTTATGCACGACAACTGATCTTTTTCCAGATCACGTTGAACCGAAATTATGAACAGTTCGCCGCCAAGCCCTACTCTGCGCCGCGATAGTCTTGCTTTTTCTTCTAACATTAAATCTGAAGTAGTAAGTACGATAATTATATTTATAAATTTTCTGGTCTAACTATGACTCATTCCTTCCCGCTCATTTGAAACGCAGGTAGTGAATCTCCATGAGGTTGTAGCGGATACTAGTATGTCGAACTCCAAAAAGATAAAGACGTGGACAGCAGAAGACCCGGTCCGCAACATCTACATAGGACGGCCTTCGATTTGGGGCAATCCCTTCAGAATCGGGGATAACGGCGATGATCGTATTATTTTTACTCACACATCAAAATATAGTATTTATTTTTTGTAATCCTGAAACATATACATAGCCTTCGACAACTCTTTCGAGAGCGTAGTTCACATCATTTAAATATATCAATATCATACTATCTGCAAAGCCGGAGGCGCAAGGGAGAACACTGGGCTTGTTATAATTTAACTAGCTAAGCTCGTTACAAGTCTTGGGGCAAGTTCGTGTTTTCATTATCTTTGTCAAATAGGTGCATGGTGCCTGCTGCTTTCATTTCCGCAGTGTTCCATAGGTTTTTCTATCTTTCGACGTCAACATACCTACGCGCAAGACCACACATAATCTCTTTAGTGCTAGAACAACTAACTATTGAGCAAGACATAGAGTAAGGCCAGTAACGGGTTTCGAGTTGCCACGAGTTGCTCGAGTTGCCGAAGCGAGGAGTTTCATCGCTGGAACGAGTTGCCACGAGTTGCCGGAAGGTGTCCGTTCCATCGAAATGGAGCGAAGCAGGGCGGTGCGAGCACAAACCTAGCTGCTCGAAGTGGCGAAGTGCAGGAGAGTGCTGCGCTTGTTGTTGCTCGTGAGAGGGGCAACCGGGTACGAAGGGCTCTGGTGCGCTTATGGCTTTTCTATGTAGCTTGCGCGCGGGCGTTTATTAGAGCACAACCAAGGGAGCGAAAGGCGCGGCTCTTTGTTGTTTTTGTTTGATCTCAGTGTCGCTGTGACGTGTGGCGTCGTCTAGTCGTTGACGATCTCTCCCTTTTTTTCTTCGGATGTATGCCCAATGAATCTACTTCAGGGGTGAGGGCGAGTAGCTCCCGTCTGCTTTATAGGCCGGCGCGTCCAGTCTTGCTTGGGGGTGAGTAGACTAGCGAAAGCACCCGTTGGAAGCTGGAAGTGGATTACCCCACTAGATCCGTAGTCCTTACTTAGGTGTCGAGAGTAACTAGATGACCAAGCAAGTGGCTGAGATGAGTCTCGAGCCCGAGGCGGTTACTCGCTCCCGTCTCAAGGGTGCACTGCGAAGGAAATCAAGGATCGGCGACACGACTCGCAGTGTCGTACCTCCCTGCTAAGGTTTCGCGGAGTCTCATAAAGCTGCGCCCGAAGGGCGCCGCGCAAAAAATTAGGGTGGGCAACTCGAGCAACTCGAGCAACCCGAGCAACTCGACCCGATACGGGTCAAAAAGTGCCTTACTCTATGTAATATATATCTCAAAAAATTAACTCCAGGGGAAATGGTAGTAAAAAAGTACCGAAATTATTTGTTGCACGAGCATCCGGAAGTGCTGCATCACTTGCGAGATCTGAAGGGAAAACAACTCGGCTGCTGGTATATTTTTTGTTTGCCAGCCTTGAAAATTCGAGTCCGACTATGACGTAGTACAAAACTAGCACTTTGTTGAGTAGTGGTCTCTACAAATGAATACTAATTATATCATGATGTTGACTTTCTGCTTCTTCTATACTTCACTTGAACAATCAATCTCAATCAGGTGTCATCCTTATCCCTGCCACGGACACGTGCTGCAGGAGCTTTACAAGGAGCACATGCGAAAGGGTACAAACGACGACCGGAGTTGCGGGCGGACATGCATCGGGTAAAGGTGAAGACGACACTAGCTATCGTTTGCGCTGGGATTTCATCACATGGTGATGAATTGGAAAGTTTTATTGCAGCTAAATCTCGCACTACATGAGTATGAAAATCAGAACCAGAAGAGAAAGGAACCTTCGATGTGGAGTTGTACCACATCAAATTAGAAGGAATGATACACTAGTAAGCATATTAACGACTTCGCAGTGGCAGCAGATGCTCTCATCAAAATTTCCACCTGCGAGCACATAATCATCATGACTCGCCGATAGCACCCGTTGAAAATGACCCGCATCTCGCTTCAACTCTCCTGCATTTCAACAAGGAGAAGAGCAGAAGACTGGAATCCGACTTCCCGATGTGAAAATATAGAACAAAGCCAGCTTTTACCCAAATGCGAAGCAAAACCAAAAATACCGCAGACCTTCGGACTTATCTCATTCTTCACCCTAGTACATAGATCGCGATTCATTCACCTAAGCCTAAGCATTTTTAATCTTGAGCACTTGTTCTTCACCTTTGCTAAGTCTGTCATGTTGGATATGATACTGAAAGGGTCACAGTCTCTGGCTTGTTCTGCGACTTGTGATTGTTCGGTGTCGACGCAGTCGCAGGAAAAAAGCGAAGTACTAGTTTTGGAATTATGAGAATTGACTAGGGTATAACTAAGAATACGAAGTAAAACTACGTGCTGTAGTATAGTATTACTTTTTTGGCTTCTGAGGACGCGCATGGCGGGAGGTCGTTGACAGACGTCATGCCCGAACGCACTCGCTTCCTTCGATAAGTCGTATGAAAATTAAATTCATCAGACAAGAGCCCTATTATGGTTGGAGTCTTCGTGCCTATTCCTTCGCGCGTAGGCGGAAAAAATTCTTCTCGACGTAGCGATATCATGGTAAAATGCGTGTAGAGTTTACATTTGTGCAAATATTTCTGCGTGTAATTCGGCTACACATCACAAACATTACCACAACGAAACAGCGTTTCCGAAGTTTACTAAGTAACTAGCATAATCGTTGTCGTTGCTAATTGCTGTGTATCTTTATAGATACGAATGCTCAGTAGGAAACGGTATTTTTTCAGGAAATAAAAAGCATGGTCTTCGGACTGATTGAAGATGAAACTGTCTTTCTGCTCTTCGTATTGGGTTTCAAGCATTAATAGACTATGTTTATTGCTTTGCTTCGTTTGTCGTATTGCTCTTGCTGTGAGGGGTAACGTAATTGAATGAAAACGCATCTCCGAAGCAACCTCATTAAGGAAAGAAGCATGGACGTGACCTCTGGTATGGAGCAGGGAACTGACAAAGCCAGGCCCCCAACGCATCCATTACGTCACCTTATCGCACATCGAAAATCGTCTGTTGCCGTTTTTTCCTTGTGCAGGCAGTGGACATGTTCGATAAAGATATGGTGTCGATTGATATTTGGCGCATCTTATGGACCACATAACCTGCCGTGTCATGATCCGGTAGTCGTCGCAACCCTTCTATTGCTAAAGCTCGTTCCAAAGGCAAGAAGGAACATGCCGAGGCCCCCCGGGAGGTTCCATCATACCACATCTGCAACCTACATACGGAAATATATAAACGGGGATGACGCTGCTGTAATTCATTCAACATGTAAGGTTAAGGCAAGAGTGAATTGATAGCTCCTAGATATGATTATATTCACGTACGAGGCGATAGGGTCTCGTGCGAGCACAATGATAATAATTAAAAGAGTTATAATGGTCAAAAGATTTCGGAGAGGTTTTTCGAGGGATTATCGGGGGGAGAAGGGGGGGTCCTAGGGGGGGGGGT